GGTAGTGGTAGTGGTAGTGGTAGTCGTAGTCGTAGTCGTAATCGTCGTAGTAGTAGTAGTAGTAGTAGTAGTAGTAGTAGTCGTCGTAGTAGTAGTAGTCGTAGTCGTAGTCGTAATCGTAGTAGTAGTAGTAGTAGTAGTAGTAGTAGTAGTACTAGTAGTAGTAGTAGTAGTAGTAGTAGTAGCAGCAGCAGCAGCAGGAGGAGTAGTAGTAGTACTAGTAGTAGTAGTAGTAGTAGTAGTAGTAGTAATAGTAGTAGTAGTAGTAGTAGTAGTAGTAGGAGTAGTAGTAGGAGCAGCAGCAACACCAGTTGTTATTGTTGTTGTTGTTGCCATTGCTATTGCCGTCATATTTTGAAAAGCTAGACATCTTTGTGAGTTGCAAAGGAGTGAGTGTCACAGTCTTTGAAACAACGGCTTCCATCATGAGCTCTTATCCTACGACGGCACCGAGAGTCATAACAGAAGGAGGCGAAACATGAGAAGCTCAGTAAAGAAACAAAAAGTACACGTCCTGTCCATTTCTCAGAGAAACGGCTGGGCTATGGACATCTCCCGGCCCTCCGGTGAAAGCACGAGGAAAGGACCCTTGTGTAGAACATGCTCAGCCAGAACCCTCCCTCGGGTAAGGGTGCTTGCTCCACTCATCCCAAACTCCGAAGGCCTTGGCCAGTCCAACACCCAAATTCTAGACCCCAAGGCCAAAATCCGAGCTGAAGCGCTGGTCTAGGTCGCGCAGCAACAAGGGCCTTTCGCAGCAAATCTCACAAAATGTACGGTGTATGGGGTGCTTCGCGATTTTGGGGCCTCAGGGCCCAATAAACCACAAGGCTTGGCGATGGGGCAACTGGTCTTATCTGAACAAAATCTTTGTGTGCATACCCATGATGTAATGACCACGGTGCTGCCTTGCTTCGAAGTGCAAGGTTCAGCGCCAACTTAAACGAGGTCTCCCATGGAAATTTGCAACATCTGACGCCAGGGTGCCACCGAAATCCGATCCCTCAGATAGCGACTTAGGTACGCATTGGCTCTCGGACATGACTCATGGACTCTGTTCCTGGAGCAGCCTTCCACCCTCGGAACCTCCAGAGGTCCCGTCAGAACAAGTCGCCGTGAATGCTTGAAGTTGGCTAGGATCATGACTGTCTACTGAGTACAAGAACCCTTAACAACCTTTGCATCTCGGTGTTAGGGAACGGCCTCGCACCAATGTTTTTTGCTACTGCATCGTCACGAAGACGTAAAGGCTTTCTACCTCTGCACACATCGCCTGCGCAGAGTCAGTCCGGCTATCCGGCTGGACGAACATCTCCTGCTGGCTTCTGCGAAGAGCGCTCTCGCAGTGGTGATTTGCAATGCGTCGGGGAAGGCCGAGAAGGGCACCACCAGGCAAAGGTAACATGTTCTGGGAAAACGGTTGAGCAGTTGTCCGAGCTAGTGGCCATTCATCAACAGCCTGTTTCATAGTGCTATCGGAGGTTCCCATCTTTGCCCCTGAGGCCTCCAGCCGGAAGTCATCTCCACCTTCCCGCAAGCTAGCGTGAAGGTCTCGGGGATTCAAGAGAAGCTGACAAAGAGATCGTGTTTGGAGATAGGGAAGTGCTGCTTCAGGTCATGCCAAAGATCTGTCAACAGAAACACAGTAATGTCCACTTGGTCGCGACGGAGCCCTGCAAATAGGAACCATACCTCGTAGAGTCGTAGACACTACCCGAGAAAGAAACCACCGACCCTCCTCAGTCCGATCACCCAGAATGCAACAGCATTCAGAGAGCCCGGGCTGGCCTCTGTCTTGAAGCTGGTCTGCCACAGCCTGTGGCACAGGCTCATGCTTGACCACAAACCCTGACGTACCAACGGCCATGACTGCCAACACTGCTCGTGAACGATGGGAGTGGGAAGTCCAACAGCAATGCTGGAGAGACCATCAAGTTTGGACATTGCTTTTCATTGCTGTGTAGGAGTACAGCTGGTGAAGTATCCATGGCTTTTTGTTGCTGTGCAGCATCCTGCTGGTTATCTCGCAGCCCGAAGCTCATTAAGCATGTGCCTTGGCTTCGGAAACCAATACCTCTTATTCCCAGTTTCGCGAAAGGCTCGAAATGAAGCTGGTCTGTCTCTGCATGTCTGTGTTTGTGTTCGTGTGTCTCTTTCGCTCGCTCGCTGTTTGCATTGAGGCGACCATTGGTTCTGGGGTGAAGGAACCGCTTCAAGACTCGGGACACCGCGCCTCGTGCAACTCGTCAGACCCCTGCCGGGCTGTCTCGTTTAAAAAGGCTTGCACCTGCTTCGTAACCTATCGGAGGCAAAAGTAGCTCCTCCACCGGCCCGACTGAGTCCAGTGCCTGCAACGGCACGCGGTTTGGGCCCCTTCCTTCGTTTCGGCTCAGTGCTCTTGAGCCCAAACCCCGAAATCCGAAAGCAAAAGCAGCTGAAGCCTTTCAAACCTTGCCCAAATCTTCAAGAGACACCCCTCGGGCTCCTCCTCCTCCTCCTCCTGCAACTCCGACGACAGCAATGTCCGCAGACGCTGCAGCCCTTGCGCCACCTCCGGGCAACAGTTTTCAGAAGACATCAGGCCATGCCATGATGGTATGCCTCCGGCCTCCGGCACCATCTTCGCAGTGGACTCCGTAGAGAAGGGGCCAGGGCCCTGCGAGGATTCTGCTTCAAATCAGCCGCCTCTGCCTCGAAGATTCCCTTTGTACTCTGCGCCCGAAAGGCTCAAAGAAGCCTCAATCACTCCCACATCCAGGATCTAGAAGACATTCGAGGCCAACATGGCAAAGCCTCTCAGCCTTTCCGTCTTCACAGGGCTGCTAGCAAGCAGGGCGCCTGGAGGAAGCCGCGCATATGGACACCTCGCTTCTGCTTCTCGATGGGGATGTGGTAGGAATGCATGGGACTGCTTCTGTAGACAGGGCTGAGGGCAGAGAGGGTGTGAAAGGATCACGGTTTCGGAGTGGGGGGGGGTTGATACTCCGGACTTTGAAGTCTGCCAGGGATCGGTACTTCTGGCAGCTAATGCTGTGTCCGCCCGAAGATAATAGGATCCTTCTGATAAGGATCCGGACAAAAAAACAGCCATCTTGAGACCACTGTGGAATCCTGCTAGCCTGTGCTACACGCATCACGAGCAACCGGGTCGCAGGTCACTTTACAAGAAACAAAATCTCAAAAATACGCAGGGGTGGGTCGTGTTATGGATTTCAAGAATGATGCGGTTCCCTTCTGCTTCCGGGGTGGGATTGTGGAGTTCTGCTTCGAAGATCGCAGAATCAGCAGCGAAATCTATGCTTCCATCCCAGTCTCGGCCCGAAACCCCAAGCCACAACCCTTTGAAGGGATGATGAGGGAGTTTCCGAACATTAGGGTATCCTATTTGGGGGTCCTTATAATAAGGATCCTACTATTTAGGGTACTATATTAGGGTCCCCTATTTTCTGAAACCCCCATGAGGTTCGAAACAAGCTCTTTGCTGTCCCGGTGCTGGCCGACCGAACGGCTTGCAGCGTGTCGTGCAAGTCCTGCCAAAGGCTCGGGCCATACACTCCAAACTCGATACGGTTGCGGAAGTTCCCAAATCCAATTCCCAGAACGAGCTGCCGCGCTGCCTCAGAATATGGGCCTCCCGAGACCTGTCTTGCAAGCTTTTTCCTCCCGCCGACTTGCCTTGAATTCTCTGAAGAAGCTGCATTGAAATGCGCCTCTCATCTACTCTTCCCGCTTGTTAGAAGCGAGGTAAAGGTCGAATTCGCAAAGCGAGACCCGGAGATGCAAACAAAACGAACGTGCCGCGTGAGCCCGGCGCCGCTCTCAAACCGGCCACGAAACGTCTGAGTCTACGAGTCTACCCCAAAGGACGAGCATGGCAACCGGGACCCATCGGGGCAAAAGAGTCATCGCAAGATCGCTTGATGGATTGGATCTCCAACTCAGCTCCTCAGATCGTGTCGCAGAGAACGAGATCATCTTAACAGAAGCCCCAAGCCTATGCGCGAAAACCAAAAATGCATCTTCCCTCAACAGGCTGCTCTCCAAACACCAAACCCTGAACCTATAGGGCTTCTAGGTCCTAAACCTAAACCCCTGAAGCCTCATCATCCTGATCCCAAACCCTCCCAAACCACCCAAATACTAGGCTCTCACGGTCCAGGCTCGATCCGCTGCTAGGCTGGGACTTGGCCACACGATTCGGCAGCCATCGGCGAGGAGGGCCCCGAAGGAATACCTGCACTTCAGGTGGGCTTATATGGGTGTTTTGGGGTCAGAAAGGGCGGGGGGTTCAAGAAGTATAGCCTTGGAGATGAGGGTTTGATGCCGTAGGCTTTTTGGTAACCTCACTTGGGGCTTGCATGAGTCGGTGCATGCAGCACCGCAGGTGCCTCAGCCAGAAGCCCTTCTGCAAGAGCAGCAAGCCTTTCTTGAAACGGTACTGAGGAATAATTACAGACACCAGTAGGCATTGATGTGAAATCGAAACCTCTACGGCAATGCACCTCCCTGCGAGGATCTGCTTCACGCCACGAAGCTCATCCATGACACGCGACCTTTCCAATGTCGGCTTGCAGGCCACAAGCGCGGGCTCCGGCTTCGGTTTGATAAGCCCTACCTGTATATCGGGCTGCGGTACGATGGTTACAGAGAGACAGGAGCCTACTGTATTCTTAACTGGGCTTCCGGTCGTTCAGCTCCATGTTTTCCAGGCACTTCTGATGTGGCCTGACGAATCAATCACTGCCTGCTGTGGGCTCAATCCGAATGAAGGGCATGAAGCCGTAAAGGTAGACATTATGGCGTGAGCCTTCGCTGGCTATGAGGGCCATTCAGAACTAATTGCATAATGAGGGACGGATCTCCTCCGGTAAAGTGATCTCCCCATGCCACCTCGCTTCGAGTGAGCTCTTGAACTCGGGGAATCTGGACAACCCGGCATTGATTTCTGATGCACCACTTCGCACGTTTGGCAGGAGCAAAACGTTTACCTGGTTCCAGAGTGTTCCGGGCTCCGCTCATTGACGGCTCCCAGGTTCTCTAATCGACTCAGCCCCCTCATACATAGTATGCTCAGCCACTTGTCTAGAAGAAAGGCAGGCACCTATCCTTCCTTTTCTATGAGCGTACATACATACATACATACATA